CAGGAAGCCCGATGCGGGACTCGATCCCAGGACCCTGAGATCATGACCTGAGCCGAAGGCAGACGCTTAACCATCTGAGCCACCCAGGCGCCCTACTGTGCTATTCTTATTTGCGGAACTGTGAGATTAGGTTAAACCGGTACTCATGCTTTTGAGAATCTGGAGATGATCATACGTGTGTTCTCCCCTCATTGACCTGTTTTTATGAAACTAAGTACAATCAAAATGTGCTCTAAGTTTATCAAGCCTGATTTTCTGACAATACATCTTCCACAAAACTTTATTGAGCTGCTTGTCAGTTTCGTCTGGAAAGAGTCTGTGGTTTAAAAACCAAAACCAGAGGTATTGATGGGTGAGGCCATTGCCCACATCACCATACATTGTGTTACTTGGCAAAAACCTGCCTATGCCCACCCCCGCCAGTCCCTGTTCCTGATATATATATACTTTAATGGCATATGCCAAATGACTTTAATCGGGGAGGAGGAGACAAGTCAGGAGTAGACCACCAACCTGATTAAAGTGGTTTATGTACCAGACTATCTCAACTATATTTGCCTTCACCTTTAGATTGTCAGGCAACTGATGGGATTTCTTTTTCTGTGTAAACCGCTTTATTTACACACACAAACCACATTTACAAGTTTCCATTCCCACAAAATAGGCCTCTTTTTTTTTTAAGATCTTATTTATTTGAGAGAGAGTGAGAGCAAGTGAGAGAGAACACGAGCAGAGGGGCAGAGGGAGAGAGAGAAGCCAACTCTCTCCTGAGCAGGGAGCCCAAGGCAATGCAGCACTGGATCCCAGGACTTTGGGATCATGACCTGAGCCAAAGGCAGACACCCAACCAACTGAGCCCCCCAGGCACCCCTAGATCTTAATTGTTCTCACCACAAAAAGGAAATGATAATTATGTGATGTGATGGAGGTGTCAGCTAAGATGGTAATCATAACTGCAATCTATAAAAATATCTAATCAACTCATTGTATACCTTAAAGTTATACAATTTTATATGTCCATTATATCTCAATAAAAATATTCATAAAATAGTTTGCTTTTATGGGAAAAATAAACTTTCTTGAGCATTATTCTTTATCATTTTAAAAGATATCTCACTTCTGATTCATTAATGCCAGAGGTCTCAATTTGTAGTTTGATTAAATCTTAATTATTCTGTAATGTCATTTTTTTTAAAGATTTGCTTATTTATTTTAGAGAGAGAGGAAGGGCAGAGGGAGAGAGAGAAGAAGAGAAGCAGAGCCTGATGCAGGGCTCTATACAGGGCTCGATCCCACAACCCGTGAGACCACGACCTAAGCTGAAATCAAGAGTCAAATGTCCAACCGACTGAGCCACTCAGGCGCCCTTGTAATGTGATTTTTTACAACATTTGGCTTGCTTTCTATCAATGGTTTTCCTTTAGAGCAGTCTGTCTACGAACTTTGGAATTTGATTCATTTGATTTGGTTATCTACTAAAAGAAATCATAATCAACTGAATAAATTATCTTGCTTGACTGAGCTTTCAAAGACTATACTAGCTCACACCAATCGGATCCCAGTAAAAAGAGAGACCTCCATTCCTGAGAGCTCCTGAGAAAGTTCTGGGGGAGACCTCTGATTAGTTCACATTTTGCCATGTACACATGCTAAAAACACTTGTTCTGGCCTAGCTAATGCATCTTGATGTTCAACATTATGGTTCTGTAAATTGCGAAGGTCTTTTTCTCAATTCTTTTTTTTTTTTAAAGATTTTATTTATTTGACAGAGAGAGACACAGCGAGAGAGGGAACACAAGCAGGGGGAGTGGAAGAGGGAGAAGCAGGCTTCCCGCAGAGCAGAGAACCCGATGCGGGGCTCGATCCCAGGACCCTGTGATCATGACCTGAGCCGAAGGCAGACGCTTAACGACTGAGCCACCCAGGCGCCCCCTTTTTCTCAATTCTTACAAGAACTACAAGCCTCTACTTGTAAATTCTCTTGATAAATTCAAAATTGTGAATGTAATCTAGAATTGTTTAAATTGTTTTCCTTTCTAACTCCAAACTGTAGAATGTACTTTCCTGCCCTTGTTTATCATGAGGACATCTATTTCTAAAAGCTAATAATGAAGCAGTTGCATTGCCCCATATATCATATTTTCATTTCCTTGTTCCTTTTCTTTCTTGTGACAAATCTAAATGCCAGAACCTATAAAGCCTCTGCTAACTTCCAGACACGTTCAGACTGATCCTTCTGCTAGCAGCAAATAAAGTTTTTTTTCTTTGTTGGTCCACTCTTGTTGACTTTATTTCAAGACTCTTGACAGTTTGAGGGGCGCCTGGGTGGCTCAGCCGTTAAGCGTCTGCCTTTGGCTCAGGTCATGATCCCAGGGTCCTGGGATCGAGCCCCACATCGAGCTCCCTGCTCAGCAAGATGCCTGCTTCTCCCTCTCCCACTCTCCCTGCTTGTGTTCCTGCTCTCACTAACTCTGTCAAATAAATAAATAAAATCTTAAAAAAAAAAAAAAAAGACTCTTGACAGTTTGAGATAATTACTACAAGAGCTAAAATTCTAAAAAAAAAAACCACTTCAATCTAGAAAATAAAAACAAAGAAAAAGTATAGCAATTTGGTATAAATCAACTGATACTGGCATTTCAATTTGCCATCTTCTGGGACACTCGCTACTAACACATATAAGTAATAATGCTGGCCCCATACACTTGAGAAGGAATAAGTGTTAGCCAGATTAAAGAACTGAATTACAAAAGTCCAGAGAGGAGAGGGAACTTGATGAGTTGCAGGAACTCAAATATTCCAATATTATTGAGGGGAAAAGGGATTAAAAGGTAGGCAGAGCTGGGGCGCCAGGGTGGCTCAATCAGTTAAGCGTCTGCCTTCAGCTCAGGTCATGATCCCAGGGTCAGGGGCTTGAGCCCAGTGTCAGACTCCCTGCTTAGCAGGGAGTCTGCTTCTCCTTCTCCCTGCCCCCCCACCCCCCTCTCGTGCTCTCTCACGTGCGCGTGCTCACTCTCTCTCTCAAATGAATAAAATCTTAAAAAAAAGGTAGGCAAAACCAAAGTAGAAAAGGCCTTGAGGATAGCAGGAAGGAGTACTCTGAGCTTGGTACTAGGGATACTGTAGTGAACAATACACACAGAGTACCCTTCCTCATGTAGCATACATTCTAATGGGGGAGACAATCAGTTATTTCATAAATATTTATTGAGGGCACGTTGTGTGCAACTCACTATTCTAGATACTGGGAATATAGAAATTAACAGAACAGATACAAATCCCTGCCTTCAGAGGTGCCTGGGTGGCTCAGTCAGTTAAGCATCTGCCTTTGGCTCAGGTCATGATCCCAGGGTCCTGGGATTGAGCCTCACACCGGTTCCTTACTCAGCGGAGAGTCTGCTTCACACTCTCCCTCTGCTGCTCCCCCTGCTTGTGCGCTCTCTGTCAAATAAATAAAATCTTTAAAAAAAAAAAAGACCCTGCCTTCAGACAGTACATTTTTCAAGTCAGTTAATAAATAAGTAAATAGGGCGCCTGGGTGGCTCAGTTGGTTAAGCGACTGCCTTCGGCTCAGGTCATGATCCTGGAGTCTCAGGATCGAGTCCCGCATCGGGCTTCCTGCTCAGCGGGGAGTCTGCTTCTCCTTCTGACCTCCCTCCTCTCATGTGCTCTCTCTTTCTCATTCTCTCTCTCAAATAAATAAATAAAATCTTTTAAAAAAATAAATAAATAAGTAAGTAAATAACAATTAAATGCAAAGAAGGAAAAAAATATGGTAATAAACAGGGCAGCACTAATCAAACTTTCTGTAATGATGCAAATGTTCTATATCTGCACTATCTCAAAGGGTAGCCATAGCCACATAGGGCTCTTGAGCACTTGAAATATGAGTATTGCAACTGAGGAACTGAGTTTTTAATTTTATTTAATTTAAATTTATTTATTACCCACCCCCCACCAGCTTTAATTTTAATTGATTGATTTTTTGAGAAAGAGCGCACATGCAAGAGTGCGTGAAGTGGGAGAAGGGGAGAGGGGGGGAGAGAGAATCTTAAGCAGGCTCCATGCCCAGCACAGAGCCAAATGCAGGACTCCATCTCCCAACCCTGAGATCATGACCTGAGCCTAAATCAACAGTTGGATACTTAGCCCACTGAGACACCCAGGTGTCCCCTTAATCTTAATTTCCACGGGCTTATTAATATCATCATGGATTTTATTTTTTTAAGTCTCTCCTAAAACTGATTCTTCTCTTGGTTCTAAGGGCGTTCCCAATAAAACTCCAGGGGCTACTACTTCTTCATTCACATTCAAAAGGAAAGAGAATTCCCTGCAAAGGTCTGACTGGATCAGTTTACATTCCAAGCCCACTGTGGACAAGTAATGGAACGTGATGATTGACACAAGGATAGAGTCAGCTTCATTGGGATCACATGGATCATCAGATTATTAGGAACTGTTGGGAAGGGAGATGGATAGATATTGAGAAGGCAACACACAAATGAACATTACAGTCTTGCTACTCAAATTATGGTAGGGCATAGGGCGCCTGGGTGGCTCAGTTGGTTAAGCGACTGCCTTCGGCTCAGGTCATGATCCTGGAGTCCCTGGATCGAGTCCCGCATCGGGCTCCCTGCTCAGCAAGGAGCTTGCTTCTCTCTCTGACCCTCCCCCCTCTCATGTGCTCTCTCTCTTTCATTCTCTGTCTCAAATAAATAAATAAAATCTTTAAAAAAAAAAAATTATGGTAGGGCATAGACTAGGGGCATCTTCATCAACTGAAGGCTTTTAGAAATATAGAATTTCAGCCCCCACACCAACTGAATCAGAATTTTCATTCTAAAATTTCCTCAGGTATGTCCTAGGCACATAAAAGTTGGATGAGCATTGCCTTACACTTCCAAGAGTTCTGATAATCAAGGATGGCATCCAGGCTGAAGATACAAATCAAAGCCCTGGTTTTAGAGGAGATCACCTAGGCTAAAGGAGAAAGTATCCGTAATAAGACTGCACCTGGCGTAAACCCTGAAACTCTCCAACATGTAATGGCTCAATAGAGGATGAGGCAGCTGAGACCTAGAAAGTGTAACTATTGGCATAGGAGTAGCATCAGGTAAGCTCGGCATCCTGAAAGTCAAGAGAGGCGTGTGTTTCAAAAGGGTAATGTTAAATGCTGCGGAAATGTTGAGTAAGATGAAGACAGAGGTTTGTCTCGAGGTTTTTGATGACCTTTAGAAAAGCAGTATCAATGGAGTCTGAAGAGTGAATTAGAGGTGATAAAACAAGCATAGACAACACATTCAAGAAGTTTTTATGTGAAAGAAATCTAGCAGTAGCTGGAGCTGCATCAGGGAAGAATTTTGTTTTTAAGATAAAGTTGTGTTTTTTTTTTTAAATCCCGTGAAGAGAGAGAGATTGAGGATTCGAGTTAGGAGATAACTGAAGGAGTGAAATTCTTGAAAAAATGAGAGCTGGGATCCAGACTACAGTGAAGAGGAATTTGCCTTTGAAAGGAGCAATAGTATTTCTACCCTTCTAACTGGAAGAAAAGCTGAAAAGGTGGCTTCTGGTTTTCTAAAAGCAGGAAATATTAGAGAGTGATCTGAGAAAGAAACTGTAGAAGGTTTCAGAGGGAGAGAAAAGGTATGAAATAGTTTGTGAGCTTATTAGAGAACCACAACAGATCTCTCAACAGTGTAGGGTACCCTTCTGAGGTTTGTGACCAGAATTTAAAGTAAAAATAGGGACGCCTGGGTGGCTCAGTCAGTTGTGTCTGCCTTCAGCTCAGGTCATGATCCCAAGGTCCTAGGAGTGAGCACGGCATCAGGTTCCTTGCTCAGCAGGGAACCTGCTTCTCTCTCTGCCTGCCGCTCCCTTTGCTTATACTCTTTCTCTCTCTCTCTGACAAATAAATAAGTAAAATCTTAAAAAAAAAAAAAAAGTAAAAATAATCCGCTAAACTGTGATTTTCTTCTGGTACATTCCTGGTGTTGGAGCGGAATTAGCATAATTTTTCGGGCTTTCTCAGAACTTCCCGAACTTCACGGGTATACTTACTGCTGCATTAACACACGGCTCCCGGCCGTGCCGAAGGGCCCACTAATTGGATCTAATCTCCTCAAATCCCCACTCCCCCACCTTACTGTAATTTTCCTCCTAGACCTGCGCTAAGTCATCTCAGCCATCGCAAGACACACCTCCAGCCGCCAGGGGCCGTAGTGACGTTCCGCGCAGCCGGAAGGGAGTACGGCACAGCGTGGCCTCGGCGTTTCCGCTTTGCGTCCGCCGCGCTCCTCGCGCTCTTTACGTCGGAGCCCAAGGAGTAGGCGTTTCCGGCCATTCATACGCCTAGACTTTCGGACCTGGGTAGTCCGGTTTTGTTCACTATCCGACCGAAAGAGAGACGGCGCCGCTAGGATGAAGCTCGTGAGGTGAGGAGGTAACCCAGCGCGGTTAGGGCTGTGACGATTTGGGCCGCGAGCGGGAGGCCGGACTGCCCAGTTGCGGGAGGCGCGAAAGCCGCGTGCGCGCGCGGCCTGCTAACGGCCTCCCGCGCCCACTGCTCCCGCCACATCTTGGCCGCGCTGCCGCGGGCGTTGAAACCAGGGCTTCAGACTGGATAGCTCGCGGATCCCGCATGTCTTCAGACAAGTGGACGTAAAAGCCTGTCGGTTTCTTTCCCCTTAGTGTCTTAGAGACCGTAAAGGTGCAAGCTCTTACTTTCGGTTAGTTGAAGATGTTCATTTCATTAGGACTCGTGCTCTTAGTCTAGATTACTTTTCTGGGCCGTCTCAGCGCTCAGGACCGGCAAATATAACTGAGTGTTCTAGGTTCTCTGAGAACGTGGGAGACATAAAGAATAATTGTATGCATTGCGTTAAATTAATGAGCTTTTAAGATGTACTTAGAAACTGCAGGGGTTTATCTGGAAATAATGAAACCCATTTCCGAAATGTTTTAAATAAGGATTGGACTTACGGTTTCATTAGGGGTTTTTTTTTTGTTGTTGTTTATATTTTGATAACTCCTTAGATTTAAGATTACTCAACTCACACGTCCCTTCAAAATAGGACTTTAATTCAGGAAAAGAATCTCCCCAGGGGAGGCAGAATCAGTTTACGTGTTTGTGACTGATTACGCTGATAATCGCTGTTCTGTTTTATTTGCGTTTAAACTTCATCGGTTAGTTGAGACTACTGGTTTACTGATTTGAGTGATTCATTCTAAACTACCTGCAGATAGATTAGGTTTTGGTGTTTTTCCTTGAGGGGGAGAGCCTTGAACATAGAGGAAGTTTCTGATTAAGTTAGCAGTTATACACGTAGCTAGGCTCTTGTCTGAACCAAGGTTTGTCAGTTGCGATCAATTATTGGGCACCTGTTACGCTGTGCGCTGGTAATGGATTTTCTTTTTTTAAGGTGGGGTTCCTGTCTTCTTGAAACTTTCTGTTTTGTGAAGACAGATAAGTAGATAATTTCTAGTATGGGTGAAATAACATAGGGGGCGCCTGGGTCGCTCAGTTCGTTGAGCGACTGCTTTCGGCTCGGGTCATGATCTTGGAGTGCCTGGATCGAGTCCCGCATCGGGCTCCCTGCTCAGCAGGGAGTCTGCTTCTCCCTCTGACCCTCCCCCCTCTCCTGTGCTCTCTCTCTTTCTCATTCTCTCTCTCTCTCAAATAAATAAAATCTTTAAAAGAAAAAATAACATATAAAACCCTCAATGTGTATTCAGAGTTTATAGGGAAGGCATTTAAGGTTAACGTTTAGTCCATTTTTATTTGAACTGTAACTTTGGAGACAAACGCCCCAGAATTTACAGTATATTTTCGGAGTTTCTCCATACCTGCCCGTCTGAATCTACTTACAGTTAAGTTTTGTGTCAGACTCTTTGGAATCAGTTTGTCTCATTTAAAGATACTGCGTGTTGTGACAGTTTTCCTGAAAATTTTAAAGTCTGTACTGAATCCTATTCTGTGTCTTAGACAGTAGAAATAAAATTTCTTCTTACTGGAGAATGTATTTTGTGCCAAGAAAATGGGTATTTGTCTAACTGGTTTGCATTTACGGTTGACTTATTTTTGTACGATGGTTGGTGGCACTATCATCCTTACTGTCAAACTCTAAACAAAGGCCTGCGAGTTGTCTTTGACTTCTTTCTTGATGATCTGATAAATTGCCAGGATTTCACAATTTTAGCCATTTCAGTGCTTGTGTAGTAGTGTCTTGTTATGGCTTTAATTTGCATTTTCCTAATGACTAGTGATGTTGAACACCTTTTCACCTGCTTATTGGCCATTCATGTCTCTTTGTGAAGTGTTTGGTTTTGATTGTGTTTATTATTGAATTGTAAGAATTCTTTATATATCCTACATACTAGTCCTCTGTCAGGTATAATTTCTCCCAGTTTAACTTGCTTGTTCATTCCTTTAATAAGTTCTTTTGGTGAGCAGAAATTTATTTTGAAGTTTTAATTTACCAGCTTTTCCTTTTATGGTTATTCTCTGGGTACTGTCCAGTTTTTGCCTACCCTCAAACCATGAAGTTATTCTCCTATGTTTTCCTCTTAAAGCTTTATCATTTTAACTTTTATGTTTAGGCCTGTGATCTATCTTGAGTTAATTTTGGTAAGTGGTGTGAGTTAGGGTTCCAGGTTCATTTTTTTCTACATAGACTTCCAGTTATTCCATATTCTTAGGGAATATAAACCCCTATTACCATGGATTTCATCATTTGTTGAAAAGGCTTTCTTTTGCCGATTGGAGTGCTTTGACAGTCCCATTGGCGCCTTTGTAGAAAATTAACTAAATGTGGGTTCATTTCTGGACTCTTTTCTGTTTCATTATCTATTTGTTGGTTCCTGTCTTGATAACTGTAACTTTATGTACTGCTCTAGCCACCTAATTTGTCTTCCAATATGAGTATGACCCTGGCACTCCACTTTGTTGATGAAAACCCTTCAGTAGCTCTTTAACAGCTTGCGCTGTCCATGAAAGGAACCTACCTAACTCTTCTCTACTTATCCATTGGTAGTGTAGCTATAGTTTCTCTTCATGTTGGGCTGTTTCTTACTCCCAGATCTTTGCTCTTGTCTCTTTTTGCTGCATATTTCCAACTTTTCAGACTTCTTACTAGAAGTTCACTAAGCTCTGACTCCCTCCTATCCATGCTACATTATGTTCCTGGCAAAAGCCTATGCATATATCCATTGCTTTTTAAATTTAGTTACCTTTAAATATCTTCTGTGTGTCTGTCCTTTCCGCTAGAGTTTGAGCTCCTAGTCATTCATTTTTAATCCTCATTTCCAAACAATATTTGTCAAAGACACATCCTTGGACTTGCTGAAATGTATTTTGATTCCTTCAGAAACCATTTTGCTTACGTTGGTTTTTCTTTTTACTTCCATATGGTAGATTGATTACTAAAATGTTTTATTTTTACTTCAATCCTGTCTATTTCCACAAATGATTTGAGCTTCTATAAAAGTTAAATGTTGGGGCGCCTGGGTGGCTCAGTTGGTTAAGTGTCCGACTCTGGATTTTGGCTCGGGTCATGATCTCGGTCCTGGGATCAAGCCCCACATGGGGTTGCCCGGTCTGTGGGGAGTCTGCTTGTCTCCCTCTCCTCTGTGAGCTCTCTCTCTCTCTCTCTGTCTCTCTGAAATAAATAAGTAAATGTTCTTTAAGAAAAGTTAAACCTTGGGATGCCTGGGTGGCTCAGTCAGTTAAGCGTCTGCCTTTGGCTCGGGTCATGATCTCAGGGTCCTGGGATCAAATTCCGCATCGGGCTCCCTGCTCAGCGGGGATCCTGCTTCTCTTTCTGCCTCTTCTGCCGGCTGCTCCCCCTGCTTGTGCGCTCTCTCTCTCTGACATAAATAAATAAAATCTTAAAAAAAAAAAAAAGTTACTTGAGGGGAGACAATTCAAAGATTTTTTTTATTTTTAGAGATTTTATTTATTTGACACAGAGAGAGACCGCGAGAGAGGGAACACAAGCAGGCGGAGTGGGAGAGGGAGAAGGAGGCTTCCCGCTGAGCAGGGATCCTGATGCGGGGCTCGATCCCAGGACCCCGGGATCATGACCTGAGCCGAAGGCAGACGCTTAATGACTGAACCATCCAGACGCCCCAAAAGATTTTTTTTTTAATTAAGTAAACTATATGCCCAAAGTGGGGCTCAAACTCATGACCCGGATATCAAGAGTTGCATGCTCTACTTATTGCGCCAGCCAGGTGCCCTAAAAGAAAAGATAATGGAAAGAAACTGTTAGATGAAAATTCTAAGCTAATATAATTATAAGCGATAATTAAATTTAGAGCATAAAGAATTTTTGTCTGATGAAATAAAGTATTAACGGTTTATTGAGAGAGACTTTCTTTTCTTTCTTTTTTTTTTTTTTAAGATTTTATTTATTCATTTGAGAGAGAGAGACAGAGCACACAAGCAGGGGGAGAGGGAGAAGCAGGCTCCCCTCTGAGCCAGCCAGGAGCCCGATGTGGGGCTCAATCCCAGGACTTGGAGACCATGACCCGAGCTGAAGGCAGACGCCTAACCATTTGAGCCACCCAGGCGCCCCAAGAGAGACTTTATTTTCTTGACAACAAATATGAAAAGGAATCATTACATGGATCTTTATATAAGGACAGATTAACTTTTTAAAATTTGGGACTTAATATGTCCCAAACCAAGTGACCCCCTTTTTGATAGCTGTCTGTGCCACTAAAAAGTGATATTTTAAGATTATCTTCCCTTTTCTTTTTTAAAGGTATATCATGCTCTTTTTTTTTTTTTTTTTAAGATTTTATTTATTTATTTGACAGAGAGAGACACAGCGAGAGAGGGAACACAAGCAGGGGCAGAGCAGAGGGAGAAGCAGGCTTCCCGCTGAGCAGGGAGCCTGATGCGGGGCTCAATTCCAGGACCTTGGGATCATGACCTGAGCCGAAGGCAGACGCTTAACCATCTGAGCCACCCAGGTGCCCCAGATTATCTTCCCTTTTAATCGTTGAAGCATTTCAGCCAACTATTATTCAGTGTCTTTGACACCCAGGATTAGATATGAAGGTTTTGATCCTTGGAGTAGTCTAATTGGGGAGAAAAATAGGTGATTCTACATGTATAATTTAGTATGATGCTATGATAGAGTGTACAAAGTATGTATTATAAATTAGAAATAACTACATTGTTGGATCATATTGTAGGATTCTTGTTCACTTTCCTGGGTGTGATTGTGATATTATGATTATGTAGGAGAATATTCTCACTAGAAGATGAATGCAGTATAGATCATATGGTGAAAGTATAATTGTGTGGGGACACTCCCACATAAATGGCAACTTTTTAAAAAGATTTTATTTATTTATTTGTCAGAGACAGAGCACAAGCAGGGGAAGCAGCAGGCAGAGGGAGAAGAAGGCTCCCCGCTGAGCAAGGAGGGGAGCTCCATCCTAGGACCCTGGGATCATGACCTGAGCCGAAGGCAGACGCTTAACTGACTGAGCCAGGCATCCCTGAATGGCAACATTTTAATAATTTGTGAACCTTTCAATTTTTGTTTCTCTGAAATATTTCATAGTAATAAGTTGAGGGAGAATGAAAGACTAGATGAGGTAGGGAATGGATGGATTACTCAGTGAACGTTATTGAGGCATCTGGCTGTCTAATTGAGGGAAAAAATAAAGGCAGATATCTACCTCATGCTGCACAGAAAAGAAATGAATTCCAAGTGGATTAAAACTAAACAGAAGAGGAGCATCTGGGTGGCTTACTCAGTTGAGCATCTGACTCTTGGTTTCAGCTTAGGTCATGATCTCAGGGTCATGGGATTGAACCCTGCGCTGGATTCCACGTTCAGTGTGGAGTCTACTTGAGATTCTCTTCTTCTCTCTCTGCCCCGTCCTCTGTGCGCACACTTTCTCTCTCCTCTCTCTCTCTCAAAATAAAATCTTTTAAAAAAGAAAACTAGAAGGAATAAGACTTCTTACAGTCTTGGGGTGGGAAACATCTTCTTGAACAGATTAATCAGAAGTATTCACAAATTTAACAACCTAAAAATAAAAACCACAAACTTGAATGGCTGTGGCAAATCGGTAGAAAATTAAAAATTTTTTTGACCTAATTGAAAACGTGTGAATAGGTAGTTCACAAAAGAAATACAGATTTCTCATATTCATGAAAAGATGTTCAGTCTTACAAGTAAAAGGGAAAAACAGATTCTTTTTTTTTCCCCTGTAGAATTGATGAAGATTTAGAAGATTGGTAAAAGTGTTGCTAAGGATTTGCATAAATGGATTTGTTATAAACAGATATATGTATTTTAAAATGTCTTTAAGCTGAATGAGAATTACAGGGTATAAAAGTCAATAAAGTTATGACCCAATTTGCATAAAAACATTTTATGTATATGCTTACGAGTGCACATAAAATGGTCTAGAAGAATCTCCCCATATACATGGAGGGGGGTTAGAAAGGGAGACTTTTATTCTACATACGTATAGGAAGCATATAATTTTTTACTACCAATTATAATTTTTTCTTTCTACTTTAGTGAGATATAATGGACATACAGCTCTGTATAAGCTTAAGGTGTACAGCATAATGATTTGGCTTATGTATATTGCAAAATGATTACCACAGTAGGTTTAGTTAACATACATCATCCAGTATGGATACCAAAAAAGAGAAGGGGGAAAAAATGTTTTTTTCTTGTGATGAGAACTTTCAGGATCTACTGTACAGTAGCATTAATAACTATAGTTATCATGTTGTATGTGACATTCCTAATACTTAATTTGCCTTATAACTGGAAGTTTGTACCTTTTGACCACTTTCATATAATTTCTTGATTTCAGTTGTGTGGATTATAATGATTTTAGGATCTGTATGCATGGATTGGAGGTTAAGCTGTATAATGGTTTAGAGAATCAGAAATGTCCAAATGACAGCTTTTGATATTATACTCCTTCATAAATATTGAGGGTATAATTCAAGGAAAGCTGAAATTGTTGTGCAGATTATTAATAGGAATTGATACAGGTAGCATCTATAGCAGATTTTGAACATCTAGAAATTTCACCCTTTGACTTAAAAAAGATTGTAAAATGTTAAAGGTGGACACTTACTACTATATTTCCACTGTTTTTACAGATTTTTGATGAAATTGAGTCACGAAACTGTAACCATCGAATTAAAGAATGGAACACAGGTCCATGGAACAATCACAGGTATGGAGATTAGACAGCTTTGTAACAATTTTTTTTTCCACCTCTTCTACTTTTAAGGCCAGAATTCTTTTTCGGTTACTTAATGAACATTATTGTAGACATCCCATTCTTTTTGTTTGGATTATTTCATTGACCTTCTTAAGTTTTACCTTAAGTACTTGTGCTAAGACCAAACCGAATTCCCCAGGTTATCCTGCATGTGATCCCTGTTTTCCTTTTTTTAAAGCCTTTGTGCTTTTTGCCTGTGTGTGTTCCTCTGCCTAGAATATTGCATCTTTCAAAGTACATTTTACTCTTTCTTAGAATTTTGTGTTCTCTATTAGGTTGTAAAGTCCTTGAAGATAGAGGATGGGATTTTCATGTTTGATTACTTTGGGTAAAAATATATATGGGGAATGGGTTATTTGAGAGTATTTTCCTTCGTTCTTTTTTTCTTTCATGTCTAACTCTTTGCTTTAATGATACCGTATGTGTAGTTTAAGGCTACTGCAATTCTTCACTTGTAGTAGGTGTTCCCCACAAAATTACAAAAGAATTGCTGAGCCAAATGAATGAAAATGCTATTTTAGTATGTAGTCCCAGTCTCTGAAATATTTAAATTGTAAGTTTATAAATAATTTTTTAATGTATAGATCCAGCCTCTGAGTAAACCAAGACAAATATAGTGTTAAACTGATTGTATTTGAGTGTACTCATGTTTGCAACAGCAATTGCTTTGAAAAGAAATCAGTGCAGTATAACGTTTCAATACCGTATGGTCAGTGACCATGTGACACTGAGGAAGTGTAATTGCTATTTGAGATGGATGTTGGGAAAGTTGAGAGAATTCATGTTTACTGGCCTAACTTCCTAGGAACAGAAATTAACTAGATCTTTAGTTATCCCATTTGTTCAGATATATTGGTAAAGGCTCCAATAATTGGGTATTTCTAAGATAATGCCATATATTCATTCTAGAAAATTGTGCTTTTATTTTGCAAAATCTCACCCTAAAAACAATGGGAAAAATAGTTTGAGGCAGACCATTCAAAACCTGTGCAGTTTGGTAATTAAGGTATTAACAAAAACCGTAGCATTCCTTTAAAAATACAGTTAAAAAGACATGTTAAATTCCTAGTAACAAGGAAAATACTACAGTGCATATAGGACTTTATATTTAAAACAAGGCTTATAGCTTCACGGAATGGGGTATAAGGAAGTTATGAAGATAGTGAGAGAGAACCATGTAGTAAACATTGCTAACCCTGAAATGAGAATACCTGGGCACAGTGGGAATGAGTCGGGTGTTATTCAGGGTTCCTCCATGGCTTGCTGCATTCACAGCTGTAAGCATACTTAACCGTGCAAAATATTAATGTGCTGGGATAGTCTCTGAAGGAAGAATTTCTGGTTTATACTGACATTATTCACCCATTAACCAGTTTTACTAAATTATGTCATAGAAACTTGCACTGTAGCAGGACAGCATTCTTTTGTATTGTGGTATTTACTGTGGCTTGATAGATTAACTGGTTGCCTTCTTTATCATGCTAATAACCGCCCTCTTTTTTTTCCCTCTAGGTGTAGATGTCAGCATGAATACCCATCTGAAAGCTGTGAAAATGACTTTGAAGAATAGAGAACCGGTACAGCTGGAAACACTGAGTATTCGAGGAAATAACATTCGATATTTTATCCTCCCAGACAGCTTACCTCTGGATACACTACTTGTGGATGTTGAACCAAAGGTGAAATCTAAGAAAAGGGAAGCTGGTAAGTTTGAAGGATTATAATCATTTTTGTGAATGTATATTTATACTTTGATCTACTCAAAATATAAACATTGTGGGGCGCCTGGGTGGCTTAGTTGGTTGAGCTTCCAACTCTTGGTTTCAGCTCAGGTCCTGATCTCCACATCATCCCCTGTGCTTGGCCTAGATTCTACTTGAGATTCTTTCTACCTACCTCTCTCTCCCCCCGCCCTCATGCGCCTGCACACGCATGCTTTGTCTCTCTCTCTCTAATGAATAAATAAATAAAATATTTTTTTTTAAAAAAAGAGATACAAACATTTGTGAACATTTTTTTGTTTTTTTGATTCCCTGTACTTGCCGTTGAGAGCATATAGTATTTATTAATAATTCTTGGTGTTGCTGTTAAAGACATGCCATTCTTTTTGTGCCTTTGCATGGCTAGTTCCCTACCCTCTATACACTTTGAAAGATTTGGAGATTTGACTCTGTTCCTGTTATTCTGAAATTTCTTAATGAGTTGGCATTGGGTCTTTGCTTGCTCTCCCTATGTTTTCCTCCATTTTGTTGTTTTGCTTATTTGGTGGACCCCTTCAATAAGGATATTCCTGCCATTTAAAGCAAGAAATATATTTGTATGATAAATTCTTCTTTTGATAAATTCTTCTTTGATAAATTTCTTCTCTTTGATACTTGTTCTATTCTTTCTTCCTGGAAGTCTTAATAATTGGGTCTTCTGAGTAATTGTCGTAAGTCTTTTCTCTCTTTTTTTTTTTTTCTGTTTTCTGAGAAACTTCTTTGACTTTATCTTCCAGTCTAGCATAGAGTTAATCTTCAGGCCTCCTGTTCTGTGATGATTTTTCATAGAATCTTGTTCTGTATCTGAAAAATACTGGATAGGATATTAGTGTTTTTTCTTTATTTACATTTTATTTTATTCTTGGCATTGTTTGTTTTCTTGGATTTCTCTTTTTATTTGCTCTGTTTTTGTTTTGGTTTTTTTTTTAAGATTTATTCATTTGAGACACAGAGATACAGAGAGAGAGAGAGCATGAGCAGGGGGAGAGGCAGAGGGAGAGGGAGAAGCAGGCTTCCCGCTGAGCCAGGAGCCTGATGCGGGGCTCGATCCCAGGACCCTGGGATCATGACCTGAGCCAAAGGCAGATGCCCAACCATCTTAGCCACCCAGGTGCCCCATCTGTTTAAGTTTTTATTTGAATTCCAGTTAGTTAACATACAATGTTATATTAGTTTCAGGTGTACAACATAGTGATTCAACAGATCCATATGTGACCTGGTGGTCATCATGACAAGTGCACTCCTTAATCCCCATCATGTATTTCACCCATCCCTCCTCCCCCTCCTCTCTGGTAACCATCAGTTTGTTCTCTTACGTAGTTAAGAGTTTCTTTCTTGATCAAGTGGTCTCTCTCTCCCTCTCTTCTCCATATTTGCTGTCTTTATTTGATCTTTATGTTGTAGGCTTAATTTGAGTTTCTTGTATTTGGCCATCTATTACTTAACAAGAACCCTAGGAAGAGACGCTCTGGGAGGGGAGGCTGGACTCCTGAGCTGGTGAGTCTCACTTTAGGGTAGTTCAGAAGTGAGTTGGCCTCTTCACTGAGGAGACGCAAAATTTCAGGATCTAGAGTCATTTCTGGAGCTTTTCAAACCCCCCCCCCCCCGCAAAAAAAGATTCCTGTCACCTACTGTAGGAGATAATGCCTGGCAGTCAGCATTATAGGAGCAGAGCAGGAGAAAGGGGCTGGGTGTTTTGTAGATGGTCACTTGATAACAATGATTTTTGAGACTTTTTTTGCCTTCCACCCACGCTAAGAAATATACTTTGCTTCATGGCCCATTCATGCATATAACTGAAACAGAAATCTCAGGAAGAATTACTTAGTCTTAATACATGCAAATGCCCATATGTTTCTTATGCTCTTTTAGTTAAAAAAAATTTTAGGGGTGCCTGGGTGGCTCAGTTGGTTAAGTGTCTGCCTTTGGCTCAGGTCGTGATCGTGGAGTCTGGGATCGAGCCCCGCATCGGGCTCCCCACTCAGCAGGGAGTCTGTTTCTCCTTCTGCCTTTCACTCTGCTCTGTGTTCTCTCTCTCTCTCTCTCTCTCAAATAAATTAATAAAATCTTTTTTAAAAAAGAAAAAAAAAATTTAGGTTGCAACCTATAACTTGAAAAATGCTAAATTCCCCTTTCCCTTCCCCTCAGTTCTGTGCCTCTTGCTGCTATCCACTTTGCAGTTATTTTCAAATCTGAAGCCTTTCTGCTTCAATGTCTTTAGGTTTATTTTACCGTTTCTCTCCTACCTACCTGTCAGGGAAATAATCATTAACTTTGCAAGGTGGGGAAGAGAGGACTGACCAGTCTTTTGCACCACATGTTTGTCAACCATTTTGTTTGTTTTCCACCCCCTGCTTCATCTCACCCTTGGCTTCTAAGGTCATAGGTCTTCTAAGAGTTACTCTTTCTTTATTAAACATTTACAGTTGTTAGTCTATTTTCTGGCCACTGTGTTCCCTCTCTCCTTCTCTTTCTTTTTCTTTATGGGTATTTACCACTTTTACTCCTTTTCTGTCATGAGTAGTATTTCAGAAGGAATTGGAGATAAATGTGGTTAAGCTGCCTTGTTCTAACAAAAGTCCTAGACTTACTCTGTTTCTTTGAATGACAAGTTTGGCAACAGTGGGTACAAGTTTAGAATGTGACTGACTTGAACTTCATGTCAGGATTTTTTTAATATTCATAGGTCTCTGAAGACTGAAAATAAGTTCATTTGAGAAGTGAGTTTTCTGTCAGTGTAATATTCAAGTAGACTTAGGAGACCAGCTGACACAGGGATATTGCTATAATGATTAAAATACTTTGTTATGATTGGATCAAATGACTTCAGATTTTAAAGAGTCTTAAGGTTGCTTGATGTAATGTATTTTAAACTTTCTTAGCTTTGAATTAACTTGCTTGGATCCTATTGAGTAACAAAAATAATCTAGCACATGATGTTCATGTTCTGTTCCGTTGATATGATACCTCTTTCATCTTGTGTAAGGTTCAGATCATTTGGATTTTATTTTGTGTTGAATTTGAGACATGATAGATACTTTAAAACTTGATGAGTCAAATGGAATAAATATTAAATTATCTTTGTAAGCCAGCAGTTTTTGGTTCTGCATGATAATGTGTTGAGAGGGATGCCTGTGAGGTCACATTTGAGAAAAGCTGGGTTAAAGTTTTCTTTCCTGTAGATGCTGTTTGTGGTGGCCAAGGTGACAATCAGTGCAGAAGAGAATTAACCTTACTTTGTTTTTCTCTTTTTTTAGTTGCAGGAAGAGGCCGAGGCCGAGGAAGAGGAAGAGGACGTGGTCGGGGTAGAGGAAGAGGGGGTCCTAGGCGATAATGTCTCTCAGGATTACTATTTCAAAGTGATACATGATTGGGGATATTTTTTGTACAGGTTTTGTTTGTTTATGTCAGTTTTTAATAAACATAAATGTAGGACGGAGTTGTCTGTTGACTGTCAAATTTTAATAGTTCATATATATTCATGATATTTGCATAGTAAGAGCTAAGTGTTACTACTAGGCAAACGCAGAATAATTTCATTCTTAGATCAGGCTTTTAATGTTTGAACTAAAATTTTTTTATGAATGTATGTAGAATATATACCTAATTACTTCACATGCACTGAATATGCATTTTACTGTTTTACTTGGATTCTGTTTTGTGGAACCTACCTATGAGTAAAATAAGTTCTTTTTGGTACTTCAGGAACTAACGTCCTGTGGATTGGGGTCTAAAATTGATTCCCTTTTCCTGAGTTTTACTTTATGGAGACTTGGGTATTTAGTAAAGGTGATAGTCCTCTTCAAATTCAGGAGTCTTAGACTTTGTTGTACTCATTAATGGATTTTTTTTTAAGGTTCTCAATAGAATATAATTTTACATTCTCTTGAGTTGAAACTGCAGATAACATTCACTAGATTATCAGTTGTGAGCAGTGTCAAAATCTGGTAATGTGAAATGTACCTGTCAGTGGCTCCTTTATCAAGTACTTTTACAAGAATTCCTTTAAGAACAAAAAGAAAAAAACCTTCTTTGACAGCAAAATTGGATTCTTTCCCAGTTGTTAATAAGGATTTTTTTTTTTTTTAATTATTGAAATTGGTTGAGTTTAGAGAAGAATACCTCTCAGTATATGCAGTTCCTTGCAGAGCTTACACCATGAGGATTGGGGGGAACTAAATCTGTATTTACATTTAATCCTGTACCTGGGGTTTTTTGTTTTTTAAATGTGAAGGAAATTTTCTGCAAAGATTATCTTAAAAGGTTTAGGCTCCATAAGAGGGTTACATAAATTGAGAGATAGCAAGTGCATTTGTGTGTTCTCATTATTTTTCAACCTCAGATTTGTGGTGCTCCTATTATTTGAACCCACATAGAAGGAAAGGGAACCCAATAATGCCACATGGTGGAGAGCAAACTTTTAAGGAGGCAGGCAGAACAGACTTTGCACACATGAATAAACATGAGTTGACGCCTGCCCTCATGGAGCTTATAGGCTAAAAGGGAAGCAGAGTTAAATAATCATTAATAGGTAATTGCAAATTGTGAATGCTGTAGTGATAAAGAGTACTTCACGATATCTTGTCTGCTTTAAAAAGTTTGTATTGGGTGGGGCGCCTGGGTGGCTCAGTTGGTTAAGCGACTGCCTTCGGCTCAGGTCATGATCCTGGAGTCCCTGGATCGCGTCCCGCAGCGGGCTCCCTGCTCAGCGGGGAGTCTGCTTCTCCCTCTGACCCTCCCAATCCTACCCCCTCTCATGCTCTTCTCTCAGTCTCTCTCTCTCAAATAAATAAAATCTTTAAAAAAAAAAAAATAAGGTATACTTTTAAAAAGAAATTTTCCAATATTTGCTATTTTCTATGTAGGAACATGGTAGTGTTCCCATTTTTCTGAAGTTTTTCAGTAAAGGTTTAAAGTTTTGCTTATGTATTTCTTGTATTTTGGATAAGGTTAGTATATAATATTAGTGACTGATTTTACAAAAATAACAGCAATGTCAAGTGCAGTTGATTCTTGTTACAGTAGTTCTGTTGTAGAAGTCACTGAGAACCCTGAATTAGTGAATACTGAACCATTGCTCCAAAGGAAAATAAAGGGGTAGGTTTCTATGGGCCTCTGGTCATGACAGTTTCATCAATGGATCAATACATAACCTTGTTTTATATGTGTATCTATTTAAAGACACTAATTAATATATATTGGTTTTTTTTACATTGAATTCACGACCAACAGCACTGTAATTCATGTCTGAGCAAAACTTTTTTTTACTTAAGCCTTTATTTATTTGACAAAGAGGGGGAGAGAGTACCAATGGGGAGCGCCGGCAGAGGCAGAGGGAGAAGCAGGCTCTCCGCTGAATAGAGAGCCCGATGCAGGGCTCAAACCCAATACTCTGGGATTATGACCTGAGCCGAAGGCAGACGCCCAACAGACTGAACCACTCAGGCCCCTGACCAAAACTTTTCTTAACACATTTCCTCTGAAAGGCACATTACATTTTTTTTTTCCCCAGTAAGCTCTATGCCCAATGTGGGGCATGAACTCAGGACCCCGAGATCTAGAGTTGCATGCTCTACCAACCAAGCCAGGCAGGTGCCCCACATCACAGCCTTGTGCTTAGGAACATGAGACAGCACTATACTTAGAGGCCATTTTAAACAACAAAAGCACAAAATACAAAAAGTGGGACTAGATCATGAAAAGGACGTTTGTTTACAGTAAGAGTTGAAACAAGGCAGAGTGTCGCTTTGTTTAAAGTCACCTGGGAATATGAGTGTATAAGGTGACGTGTTTTGCTGCTCTATGCATGTTCACGCATGACTACGAAAGGACCATAAGTATTAATTTTGGAGTTACAAGTAAACTTCAGCAAGTAAGTGGCTTCCCAAATACAGAATCCATGAATAATGAGGATTGCCCATATTTAACATTATGTTAAGATTATAACAAAGTATTTTATGTATTGTTAAAGTATATTCTAATATTTCTGATACTGAAATGCTTCTTAAATGGTATAAATTTAGGTTTGATATCAAATCTGCAAGTTTCTTTGTTAGTGTGTAGAGTAACAAGTGCAACTAAAAGTTGGTATTTTAGAGTCAATGAACTAAAGAAATTACAAGTGTGATTTATAAGACTTAAGTAGAACCCATGAGTTACTACAACCACTTTGTCTTTAAAGATTTTCCGTGTTTTCAAGAACTTTTTCCTCTTTAAGCACTTGTGGAACAGTGGCAAAAATCAGTTGTGGCTTTTTAAAAAATTCCCGAGTCTCAAAACCAAGACTGGTACCACTATTAGGGTGGGAAAACCAGTGTAAAGATGTGAATTCCCCTGATTAATAGGTTTAATGCAATTATCCTGGTGAATTTTTTTTTTTTAAGACTTCATTTATTTGACAGAGACACAGAGAGGGAACACAAGCAGGGGGGAGAGGGAGAGGGAGAAGCAGACTCCCTGCCGAGCGGAGAGCCCGACGTGGGGCTCGATCCCAGGACCCTGGGATCATGACCTGAGCCGAAGGCAGACGCTCAACGACTGAGCCACCCAGGCACCCCTCAACTATACAACTCTGCTCAAAGCAGCTGTAGGCAATAGGTGAATGAATGGGCATGGTTCTAGCAAAACTTCATTTACAAAAAATGGTCAGAGGTCTGGATTTGGCTTGCAGGCTGTAGTTTGCCAACCACTGAGATACACTATACTGCCATCGTAAAAGTGTTTCTGCAGTCCACTGACTGGGAAAAGGTACTTGTAAAGCATATGACCAATAAAGGATTAATAGCTATAAAATACCCCCTTGAATTAGTAAGGGAGACTGTCCAATAGAAAAGTAACTTGAAAAATACAGCCAATTCACATAGAGGAAAGTCCAATAAAACATGGGGAGAAAAATGCCTAATATCTCTAGCATCAGGGAATACAAAATTTAAAATTTGCTGCCCATTTACCCAAGGGGATATATTTAAGAATGTGGTAGTGTTCTTTGTAATAGTCAATTGCTAACTAAATGTCCAACAGGAAAAGTTGTTAAATTGCTATATAGTAAAATACATCATTAAAAATGAGCTATAGCTGCATATATCAACATGGATGAGTCTCATGATATTAAGCAAATAATTCAAGTAGCAAAATACATATAGCTTGATGTCACTATATAAACAAGAGGCATATAAACCTTTAAGGATGCTGACAAGTGGTTAAGTTTTAGAAATGTGCACAAGAATGATTGATAAATTCAGGAGAGGAGTCATCTCAAATGGAAGGGAGTGTGGTAGAAGGGGACACAAGAGTTTTACCCACATTTGCTGGCTAATGCTCTGGGTTTTCTGTTTTTGTTGTTGGTTTTTGGGGATTTTTTGTTTTGTTTGGGGGCTTTTTTGTTGTTTTGGGGAGGTTTCTTGGTAATGCTTTGTTAAGTTGGGTGATGGGTGTTCTTAAGTTGAACTATATGAAATTGCTGATAACTTAATTGTCTTGACACATAAAAACATCACTTTCATATGGTTCAGCTTACTATTTCTATGCATTTTTTAAAATGATTTTATTTATTTGAGAGAGAGAGAGCATGAGCAGGGGCAGAGACAGAGGGAGAAGGAGACTCCCCACTGAACAGGGAGCCCAATGTGGGGCTCAATCCCAGGATTCTGCGATCATGACCTGAGGCCAAAGGCAGAAAATTAACTGACTGAGCCACCAGGTGCCCCTATTTCTATGCATTTTAAAAATGAAATATGATTTTCAAAGCTGTGCTTGAAAATTGGCTAAAGGAGAATAAATATTAATATAAGTACTATCACTTCAGCTACATTATCTCTGAAAATGACATTGGTGAGTGTAGTCACAAGAGGTGAGTATTTGCCATATGTGTTTGGTTAGTAAAACTTAAAGCTTGCTAGGAAAGTTTCAGAGACTCATACCCTGTGGGCCTGTGGTGTGCTGGTAAATGTTAAACAACTTGTAGCATTTGCTGATTCCTCTACCATGGATTTCAAACTACTAACATGCTGTCAACTAGTTCACAACATTTCTGAAATTTTGACATTAGGCTCTTTTACATTAGTATTACACACCCTGACCATCTCGCCATCTCTCCCAGAAGATAAGTTCTTTTTTTTCTTGCTTGAAGATTAACAGCTCGTTGTTCGGTAAAGTTGGCCTCTTCGTGTAGTCCTGACAGAATGAAGCTGCAGAATTGGAGGTAGTTTTGGTGTGGTTAGTTTATGCAGGTCCGGGGAGTTCGGTGGGTGGGTATGGAAACAAAACACTGTTCTGAGGGGTTCAGTAGGTCTTCATTTGTAAGCTTTCTGGCCAGCTCTCATTTCCTCACTTCCTGAACCAAATTTCCTCAAGATCATTTGTTCAGAGGCAACCTACGGTCCCATCCTCTTAATGCCTCTACCTCCCAAGTTTTACCCACTCTGCTACCTCCAGCTGCCTGCTTTACAACAAAGAAGCAAAAGCGGATACCCTTCGCTTCAGTTAAGTTGAAAGTGTAACAAGGTCTGTGTTGACATATGTATCTCTTGAAGTACAGAATGACAACAAAATTTTGGCATTATTTGGAAGTTGTGTTTGAATAGAATTATTTTTTGTTAAATGTTAGGAGGCACATTCCTGAGGAATGTGGGGAAATGCCATTTGAGAATTGGCACTGGGGATCCATGGGTGAATGACAGTAAACACCCATAGAATGTAGACCTTTAAGTACTACTTCTCTCTGGGGATAACTTGATGCAATTGATAACTGAATTATATGACATGCTATAGAGAATTATATTTATGTCAGTGGTGGAAAATACTTTGTAGTTCAAGTTAATATACCTAAATAGCTGATTCTGAGTAATTTTATTATAATTTTTTTCCTTTAGATTTTAAGACATTTTTTCTGAAATTTCATTTTTAATTCTTTGAATATGCCTGAATTGTTACTGACATTTGGGTTTTCTTTTAATAAACAGCTTTATTGAGATGTAATTCACATATCATATAATTTACTTATTTAAAGCATGCAATTCAAAGGCTTTTAGTATATTTACAGGATTGTGCATCAATCACCACATTTCATTACCCCCCAAAAGAAGTCCCATGCCCTTAGCTATCAACCTCCATATCTCCCCTTATCTGCCTCTAACCCCTGGCAACTACCAATCTACTTTTTGTCAGTCTAAATTTGCCTATCCTGGACATTTTATATAAATGGAAACAATATGTGGTCCTTTAGGACTGACTTCTTTGACTTAGCATTATGTTTTCAAGGTTCATCCAAGTTGTAGCATACTTCATTTATTTTTTTCCCCACCCCAGTACTT